AACAAGCCAATAGAGATTTAATTATATAGATTTTATGAAACTTTCGCCGACTTGTCTTATTAGAAAAGTCCAAGTCTTTATGATTATTTTCACCTGAGATATATCCAAAATAAAAAAAGTCTTGCAAACATTTTTTTATTAAGTACAATAAGACGGAAAGTAGCACTATCATGTAGGTTAATCATTTTCAGAATGAAAACAAAACATTACCACAAGCCAATAGGGATTTGACCTTGCAACTTTTATAGAGCTCTTCACGATGCATCTTTTGAAAAAAACCAAGGTTTTATGATTTTATCTAAGTTGAAATATGTGTGTAACAAAGAATGTTCCAGACATTTTAGGGTGTGGGTGTGAGTATACTTGTTGAATTAACTCACACTCCCTCCCACACCCACACCCTAATTTATTCAACAAGATCAAAAGATATAACAAAAGAATATTTAATACATATTGATATTTATGAAAAAATTAATTTTAATTATCGTGGAAGTTTATTTTTACCAATTAAATTTCCATTTTTACCAGTTGAACGTATTTCTGTTAAACTTAATTTATCAAATGAAAATAATATTATTCAATATTGTAATGATAATCAATGTATTAATGGTCAATGTATTCAATATTTAAATAATCCGAATCAAAGAAATTTTTGTCGATGTAAATCTGGTTGGACAGGAAAATATTGTAATATTTCATATGTATCTACATGTTCATTTGATTCATTATGCGTTGGAATTGGATCAAATAATCGATCAATATGTATATGTCCAATTAATAAATTTGGTTCTCAATGTTTATTAACTAATAATATATGTCGACGTAAGAATCAATGTCAAAATAATGGTACATGTTTATCTTATGATGAATTTAATATATATCCGATATTCATATATTTGTGTATGTCCAAAAGGCTTTACTGGAAATAGATGTCAAATATCTGATACAAAAATTATTCTTAAATTTGATAAAAATATTCTTTTATCTTCAAATTTATTAATATTTTTTCATTTTTTTCATTTATTGAGTAATACTTTACATAGTCGAAGTATAAATTTACTACTAAAATGTGAAAATGATAGTTCACTTGTAATATATTGGTCAAATCCATTTAATATTATTTTTATTCAAATTTCACCATTTGAATATTACTCAATTACTGATAAAACAATTCATGATCAATCATCAATTATTATTCATACAATTAATCAATTAGATCGTTGTCGATCTATTTATAACATTTAATGAAACTATTACAAGAATACATATTATTCAATGTATTAAATATTATCATTTACCATGTCAAAATCTTTCATTAAATTTATCTTGTTTTTATGATGATATTCATATATGTTCATATCAATATTATGGTGATTAACGTTTAGCTAATTGTTTTGAATTTAATTATTACAATTTAAATTTTGATAATGAAACACTAGACTATCAATGTGATTCAAATAATTCATTTCATTCATTTACATCACCTTGTCTATCTACTTTATCAACAAATAGTTTTATCTCACCTATTAATACTTGTGAATATTTTCTCTGTTTACTAATGTTTCTCTTTTGCTTATATAGTTCGTAAACACAATGAACTAATTTTTTTTGCTTTGTCTAATTGTTTCTCTTATTATATT